GTAGTATATATATATATATATATATATATATATATATAGGCATTAATTGACTCCCTGCTGACAGAAAAAATCGATTTAGTCTTCATATTAAGCCTCTGTATTGTATTGGTAATTTTATACTCAATATTAATTATACCTGTTTCTTTTTCTTTTTTCATACTAAAAAAGGCATTATTTGTATTCCACATGTAATTCTTCTCACAACTCCTTAATCACAGTCACTAGAAGAAGAGGTTTTATATAGTATCATGTATTTTACTTGAACTTCATTATGAAAAGTATAATGACTTTCGTAAACTACCATGCTCACAGGCTTTTACTATTATTACTATTGAAGATCTTCAACTCTAGATAATACTTTACTAACCGAAGGGATACCAACCAGTTGTGAAGCGGCTTAACCAATGTTACGAGTTATAGATATTAAATCTCTCCAACACTCCTCTATGAAGAGGCTTTTGAATACTTTGCTTTAAGAAGTAATGATGATTAATATCATTATTTAGAAAAGTGATTCTATTGACAAGTGATGCCTTAAGAAGTGATCATTTGTTGGTTTGTTTGTGTAGAATATATATATATAGATATATAGATATTTCTGTACGTGTTTTTATGAATGTGGTAGTTCCGATGCTCATACTACAGGTATCGGATTTGAGGAGGGAAAAGTCTATCATATTATACGTAAGTATGAAGCGATCTATCTGTCGCCCCCCTATATTCATTCCATTTCCTTGCCTTTTTATATTAATTTTCTTTAAGGAAACCAATATACCTTTTTTTCTTATACAGTATCGTGCATTTTTCATCATGACACGTAATTTTTCTACATTTTTGGGGTTAGTTGAGCTTCTTGTGTTTTTGATTTTTGATTTCATTTACGCCCACGCGTTGAGTTCGCACAAAAACAACCATCCCGAGCTCGAGGAGTGCGCCCCGCAGGACTCACCGGACTTAGACACATTGAAGGTCCTCGACAGCCTTGCCGCCGAGGTGGTTGAGATTTATAAATATCAACGCCATCGCCTTACCGGGTCTAACACGCATTATTCTTACGTGGAGAATGATTACGTGACCTTGGAGGTGAATCCGCGCAACCCTCCCGCAGACGGTCTCTCGTCGGATGGGCTTTTCGCCCCCTCCCCACGTCGTCCGGTGAGTGCACTGCACGCCACGGTTGTACTTTGCGGGATTGCCGCGCCGATTTTCACCCTTCTTACGCTGCTTTTTCCCTCGGCCTTTTCCTGGGCTTTTTTTGTCTTCCCGACGTGGCTTTCGTACGTTTTTGTGGCCCCCGGGTTAGGGGCGACCGCGCTGTATGTGGCGCGTGTTTTGATGTTGTTGGAATTGGTAGAGGTGTCGAAAACGCAGTGGATCTCCATGATGTGGTTTAGGCTGGACTTTATGTTTATTATGAGCACCGTTGCTTTTCTTGGGGTGGGGGCTTGGTTAGTGGCAATTTGTATTTTAAGCGTCTCCATTTACTCTGTGCATCGTTTGATTAAAATGGAGAAACATCTCAATCAAGTTCAGCGGGATACTCAGCTCGTGCGGGGGGAAGTAGATGTAAGCAGAGTGCTCAAGCCAGGTACGGCGGAATCTAAAAAGGCAACGGGAATCATCGATGGATATAGCGCGCTGGCTTCCTAGACGTTATTTTACATTATTATTATTATTATTATTTTTGTCATTGGTTAAAATATTATCTATTGTGTTGCGAACATGTGACTGAATGATATAATATTGGTACGTTTCTTTAAACTAGTTGATATCATTATTTCTCTGTGGCAAAGGTGGGTGATAAACCCTTTTGCCCTTTCCTAATCTGCAAAAAAAAATCTATTCAGTTTTACCTAATGACAGAAAAAATAGGAAATATTGGAATCCTTTTTGACCCTTTTTTTTCAATTTCATGATGCATTATATTTAATAGTAAATTTATTATAATCATTATTTATTAGAAGTTAATCGGTATTTTACCAAGATAAATCATACCAGTCATGCCAAACCCAGGCGTTGTAGTGTTTTCAGCATGAAATTGGATAAAGCTGTTTTATCCTATTTAACTTTTTATTATTGTAGTTACAGGGGAAAGGTAACAATAAAAAAGAAGAAGAGAAGGCATGATAGTTTTATTAACGACTTCTTGGCCTATTTCAGATAATCAAAATCAGTGAACAACAAATTCTCGAGTTTGTTGGCTCGTCTTCTTGAAAAGGTATCGCTGAATTTTCACGGTTTCTTCAGACAAGTGAATTTAACTCGTGAAAAAAGTGCCAATTATTGATGCTTACAAAAGACTTTATGGGGAGTCAAAACAGGTTGGCGTTGCAGCCTTCTTGCCGCAAAGAAATATACATTAAAAAAAAAGTTGTACAGTAATATACATCGAGAATGAGTAGGTGGATGAATGAAGCAGAGGCTATGAAGGAAGTATCAGGGGAGGATATCTACGCGTGCAATAAGAAAATTTATTGAGGAACTTCTGAAAACAACGAAAAAAAAGATGTTTGGGAAAAGGTAAACCTCAATATTATCAATAAACCAGAGTCTTTGTAATGCATATCTATTGCTGATACTCATTTAGATTATTCCCTAGATTGGTGTGATGAAGACAACGTAATTATGTTGCACGAATAGACCCTTCTTAGAGTGTCTGTAAGGTAACCGCAACGCAAAGGGAGGATCCCCTGTTCTCCTCCTTACTTGAACCCTAATTTACGCCCCATGCGTATTTCAAGCGATGCACAAACCCTCTGCCCTCCAAAACTATATACATATATATATATATATATATGTATGTATTGTGTATAATATTCCCAGGGATGTGCTGTGTCTGACTCTGCAACCACATCCATGTCCCTCCCCTATCTGTGTCACCTGCGCTTTTCCATCCTGCAGTTCTTCTCTCTTTCTTCGTAAGGACCACACACAGGGAAAGCACAGAACCCCCCCCCCCCTAAAGGTCACCCCTCTGTTACAAATTCCTCATGAAGTACATCCCCCTCGCGAGCTTTGAGACGATCAACTCCCTGCTACACGCAGTGGAGGCGCAGGGCTGTCTCATCACCATCCGTCTCGAGGCCTTCACTTGCCGTCACACCCGCGAGGAACGCCAGATCGCGGCGGACCTGGCCCAGTACCAGACAGAGGTCCAGCGCACCCCCCCCCTGTCCCCTTCCCCGGCCCTTATGCTCCAGTCCCATCCCAGTGAGGGTTCTCCCGGGCTGTGGAGGAGCCCCGGCCTTAGCCTGGATGTCGTCGGCGGGGTGCCACCGCCGCTGGTGCTGGGCGGCAGCGTCTACCCCGATGAGCCCCCCCCAGCGGTCGCCCCGGAGGATATCGACGCCCGGCTGGTTTTCTTCGTCGCCGCTCTGAATGGGATGTACTGCCGGGATGGATACGACTTCGCAGTGCTGACGGAGCGTGACTTCGTCTCGCACGACGCAGAGATGGTCCGGGCGGAGCTCGAGCTCACGATGCAGGGGTTCCCGGAGAGCTGCCAGCCGGCGGTGCGCGGGCTCTGGAACGCGATCCGGTCCCAGGTGCTCGATCCCGCGCAGGGATGCGAGGTCTACGAGTTCTGTTGCCCCAGTTGCGACCCACTCGCGGCGACCTCGATCTTTTCCCACCACTACTTCTTTTACAATAAGACGCGTAAGGTGGTGGTGGTGCTAGTGGAGTACGCAGAGGGGAACCGGTACCGCGGCGACGACGGGTCCTCCCCCTTGGGGGAAGAGTGGGGTGTAGGCGATAACATGGATGGGCGCTTCGAGAGAGATTTAGATCTTGACTACAACTGCGTTGGCAAAAATCGAGAGTTTTACGGATACTAAACACACACAGTGACATATATATGTAGAAGGCTATCAAGGTGGAAAAATCTTTCAAATGAAAAAAAGAAGATCGTAAAGAGAAGGGCGAGCCTAAATTAGCTGGGTTTGGATTCTGTTTTAGGTGATGTGGTGCTGAAAATTAATGCGATTTGTTTTCAAAAGCTTATTAGGAACTGAAGGATTTTCATGCTTCTCTTTAGTACCATTGTTGTTGTCGTGGTTACTTTCTCTCGCATATACATACATATTCATGTGGGATGTCTTTAACTCTCGGCAATTATTTTGCTTCTTTGTTATAAATGAACTAGATCAGATATTTTATCCTTTTTTGATAGGGTATATTTTGTAGCCTTGATTACAATAATTGTATTCCTTTGTATCCATTATACTACAATATTGTCAACAATTTTACTAATCTCAAGTCTGAAAACTTCGTTCGGGCGAATACACGCTAAAAGAACCCTTATTATTATTGTTTTTGGTGCTGTTCAGGTGTGAAACCTGAGCGCTCTGTGTAGAATGGCGAACCATGAAAGAAAAGGATGAAAATCGAAAAAAATGAAACTGGCCACTACGAGGGAGAAGGTGAAATTTATAAAATAAAAGGGCTTGTTTACGAACTTTACCAGGCGATTTTTGCTATATATATCTATCTATATATATATATATATAGATATAGATAGATATTAGAAGACGCCATCATGCATCCTTTTTCTTCCCTTGTACCAATATTTTAGATTTATAGAAGAAATAAAAACGATATATTTTAGAAGTAAAGCAGTAAAGACGACGAGCTTCAAAAATACTTCAATGTTTAGTACTATGTAAGTGCTAAAATAAATATTTTGAAATTTTTATTATAGAATGAATGTGCATTGAAACTACATATTTATTTACTATAAATATATACTATTATTGGCATTCAGAAAGTTATCTATTAAGTTTTGAAATTACCCTTTCGTGTAGCGTTCTGATCACTCACTTTTTAGATCGTTACAACTGCTTCCAATTAATACTCTGTTGAAATGCTACGATAATTCCAACCGTTGGGAAGGCAAAAGATAGGAAAAAAGAGAATGTTTTGGTATAACTTCATTTACACTTCCACTTTTGATATAAACATTTCACTGCTGATGCAGTTCTTTCATTTATTTTCTTTTTCAGATGCTATACTTTATTCAGAGGTATGTTTTCGATGTGTTGATTTTAATTTCAGTTTTTCATTTTGTCTATTTTTTTCATTTATCTGTGTAACATTACTCCATCATCAATCAGTCTATATGAAATTCGGCATGAAGCAGAGTTGAAAAGATTAACTTTTTTTTGCTAATAAAGAGAAAAGCACTTTGGGTAGAATCTACCACAGAATAGTGCATAAGTATCTACAAAAATGGATTCTAATGATATCTTCCTTTTCTTTTTGTTTATGCCAAACAAATCATATTACGCTTTAAACAAGTTACAATAGGAATAGCTATATTGGATCCTTCCAGCTTTTTTCATATATCTATCTATCCTTTATTTGAATTTTATTAATGGACTATTATCCATTTTCTTGTGCATATTGATGCAGTTAGATGACGATCATTGTTCCCATAACTTTACTCCTTGATATTATGCTTCATCTTCACCTTGTCTACTCAACTATAATTTTACTTGCAGGATTCTAAAAGAAATGATAATAGGGTAAGAAAACATTTTGATTAAATATTATCGAATATATAGGTATATGTTTAGATAAAAGTATTAAAATTAAATGTTAAGCTTACAATTTATTTCTGCAAGCTCCTTTTTGACAAACATGATGCTGTGGTCGGGTTAATCAAAGTTAGCTCTTGTTCTGACATTTACGTCATGGCTCCCATTCCGTGTGAGATAATCACCGCAGAAAATACCTTATGTTTCGTATCAGCAGAAATAGGATTAAACAAAATCATAATCTATCTAATGGAGTGCATTGACTAACGTTTACCAAGTTAAAACCCTGATTAAACTACCATTGAAACTTAGATTATCGTGAATCAGATGATTTGAAGTCTGAAAAAAGTCGCCGCAAATGATTTCAACCGTTATGCACTTATTAATCAAAATAAAGGAGTTTTTAGGCCTTGTCAAGGTTATGTTCCTTCTTCAAGAAGTTTTATTCAGTAGTATTCGCATTATAGCATAATAAACATGCCAGATATTATGCTGCTGGGCCTGCAAAAGGGATTTGACAATTCATAGACATCTTCTCTTCACGTTATTGAATCTCAAGTGAGGGCCTTCAATACTCTATCCATCCAGAACACGGCATGTCAAATGAACGGGAGAAGGAGCAGCATCTATAATAAGATTGTGTGAGATCTAGCTCTCAAACCGCACGTGATAGTAGAATAAAATGGAAAAGAATAAAGGAGGGAAACTATTTTCCTCATTTTGCGCGGTACCTACAAAACTGTGTCGTGATAATTAGAAATCCTTATAGATTTCCCCACTACACTTCAGCTTACGCTCTTTCATGAATAATCAATATAATTAACTACGAAAAAAAAACATCCATTAGCATCTGCAAGTCTACTTCTTATGAGATCACATTCCGAACTACAGTAATTATATATATATATTAAAGCATTCAAACTTCTAAATGATCAATATCACATCTATAGATCTTTCTTCACCTTTTTGATATCCTTAAAGTGTGTGCATGTATCAGCGAAAATTGTATGGAGGAAATCCAAAGCAAAGTATAAGTGGCACATTTCTATGTGTTTTCTGGAAGAATTCACGTAAACAAAAAGGTTAGAATGTGTGTTCAAGCGTAAATATTATTAACCATGATAAAAAACTTCTAGTTTAAAATTGAAAGTGAAGTAACATTGTTATTTTCAGATTAAAATATTTCCTTTTGTTTTTTTATATTGTAAATTCATCAAAATGAATAACAAATCACAAATAAAAAAATCTACTTAGTAAAGCCTTTATAATTAAAAATGGGTAATCTTATTTACATTGTTTTTTAATTTAAATTCTATTTTATCCCTTCTCCCTTATTAATTGAATGAAAGTTTGTGTTCTAAAGGAAAATAAACATCGATCTAATTCTCACCCGTGTCTTAACGCTGAGTAATAATTAGTACTCATTTATATACACGCGTGTATGTAATTTCTTAGTTATAAATATGCAGCTTTCCGTACAGTATCATAACGAGCCTATTACGCTAAGCGGTACAACCTTCTCGAGCGCAGCGCCTCTTCCTCAGCATTGTCTTTTCCTCGCAAAAGGGACTACACAGCTTTCAATATCGCCGATTGAATGGAAAGACAACGGATCAACCTCCTCTTCACCTTCTGTGAAGCCAACTAAAAGGGTAGAGAAGAATATAACGTTGACCGCAGGGACTTACAAATCGAATGAAGAGTTGGATGAGGAGGCTCTGGAGTTTTTTTCTGAGTAACCCAGATTGTCTCTGTTAGGGGTATTGCTGGGAAGAAAGACTAGCCGTTTTTCACCTGAAAAGTGCACAGTGGTTTTGCCAAGGATGAAGCTAATATTCTTTTGAAATGCATTATTAACACACGCATACACAAAAAAAATGAGTTGTGGTGGTGTATACAATATGTGAAATCCATTTATCTTATTGTCTTCCTGAATACTTCGGTGTGACACCGACTTGTAACAAATTCCCCCCACTTACCTTTCTCTGCACTTTATCCAATGAGTTCCTACGCATCATCGAAAGGATCCTAACACACACACACACACAAAGGGGAAAATAAATAGCCTTCACTAAAGCCGTATTGCAACAGCCTCTAAGTCATCCTAAAGTCTCCCCCCCCC